CATACATCATATATGGTCTACCCACCATTATGATCAATAATCATACACATATGAACATATACTCATGCCATATCATATTTAAACATTCATATATATCATCACTATGCATACATATGAATCACACCTCACCATACGTCATATATCATACATACATGATCCAAAACTTCAACTTAACATGCATAAGCATCAATTTAAATCAATTATTTATAAACATATTCACGCACAGCGCAGTCAGCTTGCGCCTGGCCTAACACCAACCCAAGAGCTCTAAGCTTTTCCACGCCCAGTGCGCTCAACCTGCGCCCGGCACAGCGCAGTCAGCTCGCGCCTGGCCTAATCCCAGTCAGAGAGTTTCAAAACTCTCATCCAAACCAAAAAATCCAGCCACATGCAACACAAAACACAATGCATAGGCTCCATACAACTCAAAATAAACTTAAATCTCACATGCATCCAACCTATGCATCAAAATCCTCTTTTTTCTCAAAACCCCAAAAAATGAGATTTTCTTCAATCCATCTATGGATTCTCAACATTCATGCATCAATTGAGTTTCTAAACTCACATGCAACCTAACAACAAACATTCTAGCTTCCCTCACCCGAAGATTGACTCAAAATAGCCAATAACTGAGAAGAAGTAGAATTCCCTTTCGAAGCTCAACCCGAAATTTCAAGCCTCCCTAAGCAAGCTTCCTAATCTGAATTACAAGAAAAGATAGAAGGCATTAGTGATCTAGAGGAGAAAATGAATCATACAAAGAAATTTGAGAGAAAAAGGAGCTCACAGACCCAGAGTCCTTCTCTCTAAAACTTCTCTCTAAAAACTTCACTTTTTCCTCAACCACAAACCCCTATTTATAGAAGTTCCGGAGTGACCAGAAAGGCCTGTTCCGAATATGGAACGACCCGTTCTGCACCCCTTCATCACGTTCAAAAATCACATGCAGAACGACCCGTTCTGAAATCAGAACGGTCCGTTTCGGGACTCATCCAGAACGGCTCGTTCTCCAACCAGAACGACCCGTACTCCTTCCAGAACACCCTGTTTTGGGGTTTGGAATGACCCGTTCTCCCTCTAGAATGACCCGTTCTCAGCTACGTTTTATAGGTCAATTCAGTAGCTTGGAACAACCCATTCCAGTTTGGGAACAGTCCGTTCCAGTTTGGGAACGGCCCGTTCTGGGCTACTGAATCACCCATACTGGGCTTTTGGGCCTTTTGAAATAATTTGCTACGTTACATATTCCTACCGAAAAAAATTGCAAATTTCTCTAAATTGATAAGCATTTTTGTAAGTTTTTAGAATGTTTGCTATATTCTCGGCTTCACAATTTTGCACCCTGAAAAAAATAAAACAGACATCAACAAACATAAGATGATTAACACTTGGAGCTTGTCTACAAACCTAAATCCCATGAAGTCTTGAGAAACCTTCCATATCGAGGATAAATAAGGTGATAAGGGGTCTCCTTGTCTAAGATTCTTATTAAGGAGAATAAAGTCGTTTTGATCTTTATTTATAAGGGCATGATACTTTTCAAATTCAACACACATAAGCACACATTGAATCCACTTGTTGTAGAACCCGAGTTTGTGGAGAACAACATGAATATATGCACAACACATTCTACCGAAGGCTTTACTAATATCAATTTTGATGGCAGCTTCCAACTTCACCCCACAAACTCAACAATGAAAGTTATGGATAATATTTTAGGCGACTAGAATGTTGTCTGTGATCAACCTATTTTCAATGAAAGTCGTTTGTTATGTAGATATACATTTAGCAAGCAGTGGCTTAAGCTTGTTAGCAAGGGTTTTAGAGGGCAATTTATAAAGTACATTACATAGTGATATAGGACGAAGTTTCTTCATCATATTCGATTGATCGCACTTAGGAATAAAGGCTATCAGGGTCTCGTTCAAAAGAGGAGGGCAAAGAACCATTGGTAAACCAAGATTCACAAGATTTGAAAATGTCTTCCCCACATAAGTCCCAAATCCCAATAGTGTTTAAAGAAACTGAAATTAAAACCGTTCGAGCTCAAAGATTTATCACTATGCATTTCAGAAAGTGCATGCCTTGGTTCTTTAGAGAGGGGGAGATGAGAGACGCATTATCGTCTTCGGTGATGACTGACTCGAGGGCATTGATGACCGGTGCAACATCCAAATGGTCAACCTTATATAAGTCCTTGAAGTAGTTAAGAGCAATGTTGCCAAGGGTCAACTTGTTTAGTGGCTCAGTTGTCGTCTGAATCAATCTAGCAATGAATACGGTTATGCTCACATCTCGTTGTGGCCGCCGCATGAAAAAATTTGGTATTAGCGTCACCTTCTCGGAGCCATTGTTGCTTACCTCGTTGTTTCCAATAACAGTCCTCCTGCATGATCAAGTCGCATAATATACGCTACTTAATCAAACTTAACATACTATAAAAAATAAAATAAAAAAACCAAACAAACAAACTTAACACAGAAAAGTAAAGGATCGTCTTCAAATAAAAAATGAACAGTTTGATTAGGCTCCAATAGCTTGTCTGTTACGAATTCATATCGACCATTAGATATATAATACGCTAGTTTGATTATTGTTACACTTAGTTGTGATTTACGTGGTTATTACTACCTCACCTCTCTTTCTATGTATACGAAACAACCGACAGTTTTATTCTGTTTTAATTATAAAACAGATAAGTTTTATTTTTATTTTTATTATTAATTGATAATTTTCTTTTATATTCTAAATTTATTAAAAGTCTATTAATGAATTATCTACTTATTTTTTTCTTATGGGAACTAAACGTATTTATTTAACAACAAATATTATAAGACATGTTTAGTTGAAAAAAAATATTCTTTAATTTTTGAGTAGTATCATTAAATATAATTATCATTTAAATTATTTAATTCTACAGGTAATTTTAAAATATAATTTTAAATTATGGCAATATTATTTATAACTAATTTAATTATTTTTTACATGAATTTTTCTTCATTTATATAGTACAAGTGAATTTTGATTTTGATCCTAGTAAAAGAATTTCTTTGTTTTGTTATCCTAAAAAATTTAAAATTATAATTTTTAATCCTTATTATTATGTGATTGTTTTCATCAACTACTTGTGTTATTAAGAGATTAAATAAGCATATTAACTCCAATATATTAAACATGGATATCAATCTTGTACAAGAATATTTTTAAGAGTTTTTCTTAGATAAGAGATTTTTAGAAATTCTTTTAATATTTTATCTAAATTGACTTTTATTTATCATAATTATTTATGAATTAAATTTTAATATCTTTAAAGTAAATTATCAATAAATAAAACAATATTGAATAACAATATAAATTATTTATCATAAATCTAAAATACAATTTATATTTTTAAAAATATTTATTTATAAAATTTTAAATATGATTTATATATTTAAATATAATATTTATTTATATAATTTATTATGAATTTTAGTTATATATAATAAATATTTAGCATGTATATTGTATAAGCTAAAATTCTAGTTATGTATATTGCTAGAAATACCATGTTAACACATGGTACCTTTAATTTATTTTATAAATCTTTAGAACAAACGTTATTATGTACCTTAAAATGATCATTGAATATTAAAGATAATAGTTTTAAATTTAAAAAAAAATTGTAAAACTAAAATTTATTCATTTGACAAGGATAAAAACAAAATCTACAAAATTTAGAATGATGAAGAAAAAAAAAATTACCATGATCAAAATTAAAACAAATACATTTTATAAAGACCAAAACATATTTAAATCAAATAATAAATATGTTTTGTTAAAAAAACAAATTTAAAATCATATAAATTATGATTAAAAACTTACAAAACACGATTAATTCCTAAAATAATATTTTCATCATTTTAAAAAATAAAATATAACTTGGATTTTTTTTTGTATAAATATAATTTAATGTAAAATTTATTTATATATAATAAACAGTTAATCTATAAAATGTACATATCATAATTAATATTAATTAATATTATAAATTTCTTTAGTACTGTATTGGATTCTCATGTATAAAAAATCATTATAAAATGATCTTTAAAATATTAATATAATCTATTTTTACATATCAATTTATATATATTAAATATGAATCACTTTTTAATTATAATTAAATATATTTATTTATATATTTTTTAAATATAATTTATATATTTAAATATAATTTTTATTTATTTATATATAAAAATATATTATAAATTTTAATTATATATAATAAACATATATATCCATTATACATGCTAAAATATTAGTAATATAATAAAAATATTTTTTTTGACAACTCATTTTCTTTTTACTATATTATTCTTATAATTATTTCTAAATTATTATTTTACTCACAATTTTTCTTATTCTTTCTAGTCTCTTTTCTACTCTCTTTATACTTCTCACAAAATTTAATTAACTAATATTTTAGTTTATTAACTAATATTTTAGTTTATGCAATACATATCATATGCGTATTTATTTTATATAATTAAAATTTATAATAAATTATATTTAATAAAAAAATATAAATTATATTCTTTATACTAAATATATAAATTATATTTAAAATTTGTGTAAAAAATATTTTTAAACATAAATTATATTTTAGGTTTATGATAAATAATTTATATTGTAATACAAAATCAATTTTATTAATTGATAATTTATTTTAAAATATTAATATTTAATTAATAAATAATTATAATAAATGATAAATAAAAATAGATTAGATAAAAAAATTAAAAAGAATCCGTATAAATTTTTTTGTCAAATAAATTCTTTTAAAAATATTCACGTATTTAATATATAAGGGTTAAGTTTTTATTTTAGTATTTTTTTATTTGAAAAAAATTAGAGAAGCATGGTCGCATGACTCCGTGTTAAAGTTAATATTTCAATTCATAATGTTGAAAAATTATTTAATGACTCCTATTTTAAAAACTAAATTAGATAAAATGGTTTGTTTGGAGCACCAACCAACGCAAGTATTTAGCGGATAAGTACCGTTTGATAGATTTAATGGTTCAAATTTCGGGATGTTTCATGTTTATCCAAATCTGTTATCATCCAATTCAATCCAAATCAGCGCTGTAAAATTCTTTTATAAATAATCACAACAATGCAGCCACTTTCCCTTTCTACGTCCAAATTCAGCACTGCAGTGAGTGTCGTGGATCGCTCCAATGGCCGAATTTTCTCTTCCTCAGGACTCATACTTTCTCGGATTCGACAGTTCCACCCAGTAAGTCCATTTCTCACAATTTTTCACTTTCAATTTGATGCAATCCCAATTTAAAATTTCAATTTTTACTGGTTTGAAGGTCGTTAAAGGCCACAGTGTTGGACTCCAACCTCAACATCGTAGCCTCGGAGCTTGTGCATTTCGATTCCGACTTGCCACATTACAAAACCAAAGATGGGGTTTACAGAGATCCCTCTGACAGTGGCAGAATTGTTTCACCCACCTTGATGTGGGTGGAAGCTCTTGACCTAATGCTTCAAAAGCTCCACGAATCAAAATTTGATTTTTCCAAGGTTGCTGCTGTTTCTGGCAGTGGCCAACAACATGGTAGTGTGTATTGGAAGAGTGGTAGTTCTCAGATATTATCATCATTGGATCCTAAGAGGTCATTGTTGGATCAGCTTGAAAATGCTTTTTCCATAAGGGAATCCCCAATTTGGATGGATTGTAGCACCACTGCTGAGTGTAGGGCAATTGAGAAGGCTTGTGGTGGAGCTTTGGAGTTGGCTCGTATCACGGGTTCGCGTGCTTATGAGAGGTATACTGGCCCTCAGATTAAGAAAATATTTGATACTCAGCCAGAAATTTATGACAGCACTGAGAGGATATCGCTTGTTAGCTCCTTCATGGCGTCTCTTTTCGCGGGTGCTTATGCTGCCATTGATCATACTGATGGTGCAGGCATGAATCTAATGGACATAAAGGAAAAGGCCTGGTCTAAAGTTGCACTTGAGGTTGTTAATGCTATTGACTTGCCCTTAATTAGCTATTGTTGAATTGGTTTTTGATGTTCTTCCAAGTATGACCTTAGCTTATTGACTAATATTCCCCTTAACCAATCATTGTTGCAGGCAACTGCCATTGGTCTGGAGTCAAAACTTGGGGATTTAGCCCCTGCTTATGCTGTTGCTGGAAATATTGCTCCATATTTTGTAGAGAGGTTTGTTGGACTTTTTTTTATAACTTGTTTCTCTTTTGGAATACAAGCAAAATTAGGACCGTTTGTTATATACTGATGTACTATATGCATGCTATCAATTTCCTATGGAATAATGGATTTTATAGTTCACCAACTAGATTCACAACTAATTGAAACTCAGGTAACATACTAGTATAGAACCTAGAGGGTCAAATATTATATGCTGGAGTTGAAGTTTATATGTACAATGAGAAATTGCCTATTTTAAGTTTTGAAATAATTATGGATAGTATGTCAATTGGATATTCACCATTCATATGTCAATTGGATTGATGACTGATGGTAATTTATTGTGTCTTAGGTATCACTTTAACCAGAATTGCTTGGTTGTTCAGTGGTCAGGAGACAACCCTAATAGTGTGGCAGGTACCATAATTTCTTCATTAACATATTCTGCCATTTATCTCTGATTTTATGTATTCTTTCTAGTGGGATTTAATTATATACTTTTGTCAAGGTTTAAAAATGATGAAAATCACCCCCCCCCCCCAAACCTGTCTAAACAGGAAGTCCCAAAACCCCATTCCTATAATGTTAGTTGTTAAAATAAATTAACCATTTTGTTGGATCTGCAGGTTTGACCCTAAATATTCCGGGAGATCTCGCCATCAGTCTTGGCACTAGTGACACTGTAGGTTAAGATACATAATGTTAACTTTGTTGGTCTGTCCAAATTTCATAATGTTTTGAAAATGAAGGCAACTGCATATTCTGTCAATGGAAGAATAGTAACTATTTTATAATTAGATCCCATTTTATGCTATCCCTTCTAGTATCGAAGCTAAAACCCCCCCCCCCCCCCCAAACCTGTCTAAACAGGAAGTCCCAAAACCCCATTCCTATAATGTTAGTTGTTAAAATAAATTAACCATTTTGTTGGATCTGCAGGTTTGACCCTAAATATTCCGGGAGATCTCGCCATCAGTCTTGGCACTAGTGACACTGTAGGTTAAGATACATAATGTTAACTTTGTTGGTCTGTCCAAATTTCATAATGTTTTGAAAATGAAGGCAACTGCATATTCTGTCAATGGAAGAATAGTAACTATTTTATAATTAGATCCCATTTTATGCTATCCCTTCTAGTATCGAAGCTATATTTAAAACAAAATGAATATTAACACCTTTGCTTTTAGTTGTAATTCGTTCTGGCTTATCTCTCAGGTATTTATGATCACTAAAGATCCTAATCCAGGATTAGTGGGACATGTGTTCCCTAATCCAGTTGATGTAGAAGGTTACATGGTTATGTTGGTGTATAAAAATGGATCCCTTACCCGAGAAGGTGCTGTTGTTGTGACTCTTTGTCCAATCATATACTGTTTGTTTGCTTATAAACCCATAATATAAATGGTTCTTGTAGTCTCTAACTCTGGACTCTTTCAAATATCAGATGTGCGCGACCGCTATGCAGAGAAATCTTGGGATGTTTTCAATAAATTTCTTCAGCAAACACAACCTTTAAATGGTGCGTATCACAAGCTCTTCTGTTATATTCTCTCTTTTCTCACAATGTTTGTTTTTTTTAATAGGTGGAAAGTTAGGTTTCTACTACAAGGAGCATGAAATTCTACCTCCTCTTCCAGGTGTCTGCTTAATTTTTCCACCCGTAAAGTATTTGTATCGAATAACATGTTGATTTGGCCTCAAGAAGTTACTAACTAATTTTTAATGGTCTCAGTTGGTTCCCACCGCTATGTCATAGAAAATTTCTCAGACACACTGGATGGATTGAAGGAACGGGAAGTGGAGGAGTTTGATCCTCCATCTGAGGTTAGGAAACTCATGAAAATTTCTTAGGGTAATTGAACTTTAAATCCTAAATCAAAAATATTTCTATTGAACAATAAGCTAAATTGCAGGTACGGGCATTAATTGAGGGTCAATTTCTCTCAATGCGGGCTCATGCTGAAAGATTTGGAATGCCTTCTCCACCAAAGAGAATTATAGCCACTGGTGGAGCATCAGCAAATCATTGCATTCTTAGCTCAATAGCTTCAATTTTTGGCTGTGATGTGTATACCGTTCAAAGACCTGGTAAGAAAAAATTAGCTATCTCAGCACGACACACTCTGAATGCTGTTGTGTCATGGATTCCTATAATGAAATATTAAGTTTGAGCTTCTTTTAAAACAAAATTTTATCCAAGTTATTGAGTTTGAAATTCATACTGCATTTCATTGAAACTTGAAAGAGGACAGTGTTAATCCATTGTAAGATATGGGGCTTGAATCTCACATTGGAAGTATGAGATTCTAGTGTGGAGTTTAAAGGTCTTGGCCTCTTCAATTATAACAGCTAGCTTTTGTGGTGCGGTTCTCTTAAGGTTCTTATAATGTTATCAGATAACTAGTGTTTTTCCTTTTTTCAAAACATAAGCATGTGTATTCACATTTCCATTGCAAATACTTTTATTTATTCATAAAATGGTGATTTTGTTGTTATCCTTGTTTTTAAGTGATGAACTGAACTATTATATAAAAAAAATCTTCAACTTGGTAACAGATTCAGCTTCACTTGGAGCTGCATTGAGAGCTGCTCATGGATGGCTCTGCAACAAGAAGGGCAGTTTCTTACCCATATCTGATATGTACATGGACAAATTGGAGAAAACGTCTCTGAGCTGCAAACTTTCAGTAAATGCTGGTGATCAGGAGTTGTTTTCCAAGTATGCTTCCATCATGAAAAAGAGAATTGAGATAGAGAATCGGCTCGTCCAAAAGCTTGGACGCTATTGAAACATTGAACTTGCTATTTTGCCTTAGTTCTCACATTGAGTTGGCTGTGAATAGAATAAAGTGGTTACAATAGTTTAAGCATTACTTTCAAGTCTGAAAATTGAACCCAAAAAGAAAAGGCAAATTTCTGTTTAATTTATGATAGTGCCCTCCTAAATTTTTTTTTTTTTTCCTATTATGATAGTGATGTTTAATGTTTATTCCCTACATAATGTTTTTTTCAGTCTGGGCATGCTAACTACCGGACAATATATACCACCACCAATATTCTGTATTTTTTTTATCCTATCTCCTTTAATTGTTTGGAAAAAATATTATTCGAGCACCTCTTATACATTATTTAACTATTTTAATTATTTTAAAAAAATATTACGTTGTGAGTCCCTATAGAAAAGTTAGTGTTACTATAAACCTTAAAAATAGCAGGTGTACTGAAACTTTATAAAAACTTTAGGAGTGTTAATATAATTTCCTCATGATAATAACATCAACAGCCAGGAATATATTGAATTTAAGATTAACTCTATGGCCTTACACGAAATACGTGAGCTCTCTTTCACTGTGAACATGTGATATAACTGTTGTTACTAGGGATCACAATAATGGTTGACCATAAAATTTAACATTTGTCATTTTAAAATTTAGAGTTATTAATTCCTGCTTAATAATATAAGAAGTTATAAATTCTTGCTTAATCAAGGCCATATGATATGATTGTTGCATAATAACTCATTAGGGGGTTTATTTGTGATTTTATAATTTCAAATGAAAATTCAATTAATCTTGGATTAATGTTTACCTACCGTAGCCAGTTATTTTTTTTGGGTCACAGATGAACCATTTGATCCCTCGTTTTTTGACATAAGCCATTCTTTCGACACACGTTTCAGGCAAGAATAATTTATTCCAGCAGTTATTAAATTTAATTTAATCTCCGTTCGGTAGTTTAGGATTTAGAGTTTAATAATTATTAAATTAATAAATTTAATTTCGATTCAGCAGTCCAATCACAATTAAACCATTTTATATTATATAATTTGATAAATATTATAATTGAAAATTGATTATTTTATAAAAAATTTACCTTTAATTTTATAATTAAAACATTTCTATAAATTTCATCTTTGGTTCCATTTAATGGAATTGACAATCCAATTTTTCAACCACATTTCTGCCTGCTCTTGGTATTTTTTTTTTAAAAAAGTTATTTTTTACTTTTACTATTTTTTGTTTTAGGGTTCCGTGTATCGTTTAATAATTTGAGGTTTAAAATTCCCCACCAAAAAATTGAGATCCCACCAGCTAGCATTTCTACATTGTCTCTAGAATTGAGATCTGATATAAAAATAAATAAATTTTTGCCTCTAATTTTTCGCAATGATGCCACTAGAAAATATATAGCCTGTGTTCATAGAAAGGAACTAAACAGGTGAGAAATATAGTAGAAATATTTAAAGTAAAAAAAAATAAGTAAAATTTTGATTGTTTAATCAAACAAAAATATATAAAAATATATGTAAAAAATAAGATATATATAAACAAAACTAGGAGATAAACAAATAAATAAAAAAATAGAACTGACCAGCCTTTTAATTTTTCTCCACTATATTTTTCTTATTTTCAGTCTCTCCATCTTATTTGTTTATCCATATAATGAATGAGTTTAAACGTGAATCCACCCAAACATTAGCATTAGCAGCAACCATTAACACAATGCGAGAGAGAGAGAGAGAAATAAAAATGGAAACTATGCCGCTAGAAACTCGTGTACTATATAGAAAGCACATATATTGATAATGATAAGAACACGCAACATTTAAAAAGCAGACGTAAAACATAGTCCGGAAGAAAGGGAAAAGGCAAACACACATGAGAATCTAATAATCATCATCTCCTTCAACATCATCTGTTTCACCAGACTCGGCCCCAACCTCCTCATAATCCTTCTCAAGAGCAGCAAGGTCCTCACGAGCCTCTGAGAACTCACCCTCTTCCATACCCTCACCCACATACCAATGCACGAAAGCCCTCTTGGCATACATGAGATCAAACTTATGATCAATCCTAGAGAAGACATCAGCGACACTGGTGGAGTTAGAGATCATGCACACAGCCCTCTGCACCTTCGCAAGGTCCCCTCCGGGAACCACAGTGGGAGGCTGATAGTTGATTCCACACTTGAACCCGGTGGGGCACCAATCCACAAACTGTATGGTCCTCTTGGTCTTAATGGTCGCCACAGCAGCATTCACATCCTTCGGAACAACATCACCGCGATACATCAAACAGCACGCCATGTACTTGCCGTGCCGTGGGTCGCACTTGGCCATCATGGAGGATGGTTCAAAGGCGCTGTTGGTAATCTCAGCAACAGAAAGCTGCTCATGGTACGCTTTCTCAGCAGAGATGACAGGGGCGTACGAGGAAAGCATGAAATGGATCCTCGGGTATGGAACCAAGTTGGTTTGGAACTCTGTGACGTCAACGTTCAGTGCTCCATCAAACCTCAATGAGGCAGTAAGGGATGAAATCACCTGCAATGCAATGAGGAGGTAGATAGTTAATGAAACCTAAAGCTGCTTGCTTGCATGATAAATGGGTTACCTGAGAAACGAGGCGATTGAGGTTGGTGTAAGTGGGGCGCTCGATGTCCAGGGAGCGTCTGCAAATGTCGTAAATAGCTTCGTTGTCGAGAAGCACCGCCACGTCGGTGTGTTCCAGGAGGGAATGAGTTGAAAGGACGCTGTTGTAGGGTTCTACCACGGAGGTCGAAACCTGAGGGGAGGGGTAAACGGTGAACCCCAGCTTTGACTTTTTCCCGTAGTCAACGGACAGACGCTCCAGCAGGAGCGAGCCCAAGCCCGAACCGGTGCCGCCGCCCACGGCGTTGAAGACGAGGAAGCCCTGGAGGCCGGTGCAGTTGTCGGCCAGCTTTCGGATCCTGTCGAGGCAGAGATCCACGATCTCCTTGCCGATGGTGTAGTGGCCGCGCGCGAAGTTGTTGGCGGCGTCCTCCTTGCCGCTGATGAGCTGCTCCGGGTGGAAGAGCTGGCGGTAGGCGCCGGTGCGGACTTCGTCAATCACGGTGGGCTCCAGATCCACGAAGACGGCGCGTGGGACGTGCTTTCCGGCGCCCGTCTCGCTGAAGAACGTGTTGAAGGCGTCATCTCCTCCGCCAACGGTTTTGTCACTGGGCATCTGTCCATTGGGCTGAAACACAAGAAATCAAAACATTCAAGCCCAAGCCCAAGCCCAAGCCCAGAGAAGGTGATTGAAAAACCAAAAAATGCATACCTGAATGCCGTGTTCGAGACAATAGAGTTCCCAGCAGGCGTTTCCGACCTGGATACCGGCCTGGCCGATGTGGATTGAAATGCACTCTCTCATTTTGGTGCTTAGAAATGAAATGGAATTGAAGGAATGAAAAGTTTGGGAGGCGTTTATGAAGACGCCTTTTCCCCTTTGATTCTGAGTGTCCAAGGGTTCTTGTTGGGCCTTATATACGCACAAATGCTGCCGCTCCCTAAATTTTAAATCTACGGTTAGGAATCTACTAGGGTTGGCTTAACCCTAACCCTGGTTTGACAACTAGGATTCAACTAAAACGGGATTTCCATTTTTTTAATCTTACGTTTATGCCATGCCCCACTTTTCCCGTCATTACCAACCGTTGCACTTTTTTTAATTTTTCATTTCATTTTCGTCTCCCCAAACATTCCAAGAATGCCATTGCTTTGCTTTCTCGCAACAACCATTCTCATTTCTTCTCATTCTTATCTTTTATATTTCTCATTCCACTTTCGGTCTAATTACAATCCCAAATGTTTAAAAAAAAACAAAACAACAACTCATCAATTAAAGTGTGTTGTTAAAAAAGAATACGCAAAAAATATCATAGCATACAAATGGTTCATTAAATATATATAATGAGAAGTACATAATATATTAGAAAAAGACATTTGATCTTAAAATATCATAACACAAAATTGCTTCTGTGCCTTATTTTCATTGGTTATTGGTTATGTCTCTGATGCTTTATTTGGGTAAGTGATTTAATAAAGGATGGAAAAGAAAGGGAGGAAACATTAAGGAATTAAAATTTACATATATATATATATATTTGGAAGAGATGATTTAAATAAATTTGTAAAGAAATTATTGTGAGATTTATATAAATTTAATTCCATTCTTTTATGGCTAGATTTGTGTCAAATTTTTCAAAAAGTAAAATGTTTAGATAAGATAATTTCTATATTATTATTTAAATAGTTAGTTTGTAAATGATAAAAATGTATTTGTTTAAATAATATATTTTTTACATTAAAAATCTTATATGAAATACAATTTAATTAAAATACTAATCTTTTTATTGCTTATATAATTTTATTCTCTCAAACAACTATAAATTTCACATTACTTTCTACCAAATTAATTTTCATTTATTCTTCCTTTTTCTCTTTGATTTTTCTCCCTCTTCCAAACAAATCATGTAGAGAGAAAATCAAATAAGTAATACGTGTATGTCTAGTAGAATGCAAGAGGTTGCAATTTTTGGCTATTTCATATTTCGAGGGAATGAAGAATTTTTTTTTGCATGAACCACTTTCACTTGTGCTTCCTTGTTCACTATTTTCCTCGTACTAAATAACTACCATTTGTTTCAAAAACTAAAAAAAAAATCATTATTGTTTATACTCCCCTCTCTCAAATTTTTTTCCTATTTCATTTCTATCAAATATATGCTTAGAAACGCATTAACATTTTTAAAAAATAGAATTTGTTGTAAAAATAAATAATTTAATCACCCTCCAACTTTTTTATTTTTACTTATTCTTATGTTGTAAATTAAAATTTAAAGTTAAATTATTCATTTAATTTATAAATTTTTAAAATTTTAAGTGAGTCCATAAACTAAAAATAATACAAAGGAGTTTAACTCGAGTATACATAAGTTATTGTTTCGATTCCTATGAATTAAACTTTCTATAAAATTGTATTTTTTTAATAGAAGTTTTAAGTTATCATAAACTAAATCCCGGCTTTAATAAATTAATATAAAAAAAACCCAAGGACCTACTTTATTTTTTAGGGATCCAACTGAAAAAAAAATAGCTTATGGACTTACTTAAAAATTCTTTTTAAAAAAATTAAAAATCAACTTAGTAATTTGACCTAAATTAAAATACATAACTCAAAGAGACCCATCTTTCTTTGCTCTTTCAATTAACCATTATCATCATCCAATACTATTATCATTTTTATTTACTGATTCATTTTCATCTCTACTTTGAATTTTAATAGTTTTTTTTTTCAATTTTCAATAGTTAAAAAGTCTTATGTCATTGTTTAAATTTAAATTTTTAATATGTTACATTAATATTTTTCTTCCTAATGCTAGACCAACTTTTGATCTTTAAAGTATGTAGTAAATATTTTCATGATAATGGTTAGTTATTCATTAGTATGTTGGACTAAAATCTCCAACACACATTTAAAAATTTAAGGATAATGATATATTCACCTCTTTTCATTTTATTTTTTTTTAATAAGTACACCTCTTTTTAAAAAAAAATCATATAATATTCATTTTTTTATTTTTTTTATTTTACACTCCCAACTTTCAATTTATTAATTTTTTTTCACACACATTTTTTCTTCTTTCATATAGTTTTTACATGCATCATCTTTTCTTTTTCAAATTTCTCATAGATAATTTTAGTTCTTTTGATTTTTACATTACTCCCTTGTCCCCTCACCTCTTACACTTTTTTACATGTATGCAGACCGTAGAATTGATATGTCGTAATATTGTAGGTAAATGTGATTTCCTTGACAGTTTCTATTGAATTAGATTCACATTTTTTCTTCCAACACTTTCTTTCCTTTCACACTTTTAAAAACCTTAACAATAATTGTAGTTCTATGAAAAAAAAACATTTCAAAATACTAATTTTACTATTCTGGAGTACTTTCCAGGATAGTGAAATCAATGATCTAAAAACTTTCCAAAGTTGTGTTTTTTACTTACTCTAAAAAGTATTTTTCAAAATAGTAAATTTAGTGTTTCGAAAAATACTTTTCCAAAGCATGTTAAATAACACACTTCCAAAAAGTATTTTTCGAGATACTAAATTTAATGTTCTAGAAAGAACTTTTTGAAATATTAAAATTAATATTTTGAAAAGTACTTTATGGAGTATATTGTTTTATATACTTTTGAAAAGTATTATTTGAAACATTGAAATTATCATTATGAAAAGTACTATTCAGAAAAGTACTTTATAAAAGTATGTTAAAAATTTAATTTCAAAATATGTTTTTTGGAACATTAAAATTATTTGATGTTATATTTTTTAGGCATATAAATGGAGGAAGTGCTTGAAGAAAAAAAAAACACATTTGATTCATCACTTTCAACATTGTTAAGAAAGTCACTTGCGCTTAATATATTGTCAAAAATTAGTTCTATATTTCGGATGCATGTAAAATCTAATGGAGGGAATGAAAAATATAATAGTGAGAAAATTGAAAGAGAGACAAAAAAAAATAATATAAAACTAAAGAATTAAAATTACTTACCGAAATAGATAAGATGAAAGAAAGACAAAGAAAGTACATCTGCAAATTGAAAAGAGAAGAGAAAGAGATATATAAAAAAAATATTAAATTAAATATTGAAAATATAAAATTAAAAAATTTAAAATTATAAAAATTAAGAATATTTTAAAAAAATATACTTATAAAAAAAAGTATTTATATCATGATTCAAAATATAATCCACCAAGCCAACTCACCATGCGACGAGCCTATTAGGCTGGCGGACCGAACTCAACCGTTTTTATTATCTCAAATAATTTTGTTTATAATTAAAGATATTTATGTTATAAATAAAGGTATAATGAGATCGTTAACTTTAAATTATTTTAAACATTATACCAATGATAATTTATAATTAAATTACACCAAATGGAAAATCTTCTCGATTAGTGATTCGTTAATCGGTGTTTTAATGACTCTTGAATCTTGATCTTATGGACATTTAATTTTTTAATATTTTTATTTTTATTTTTTGTTGTCCAGGTTGGGTAAAGTACAACTGTACAAGGATATATGGCAATTGCTGGGCCCAGATTCAGGTCACATGCAATATATCATCAACTGTTGGGCTGTCAACATTCAGTAGATCCTACATTTCTATTGCGGACCCCCCAAGTTTTGATCACTTTTTACTACTAACCAAATAAAAATGAACTTTACGGCAAAAAAGTTTTTTTTTCTTCATTTCTTTAGCTAAATTTTTTTAGTTTATTAAATTATTATTTTTATAATTATAACATGTTCTTCTTCATCTTTGATTAGAAAAAATGCAATTTATTTTTTTATATTCGTGCTAGTTATTATTGGATATGCCAATAAGGAAAATGATATATAACTAGATAAACAGTTTATATTTTTTAAATAACTTTTTTTTAAAATTAAAATTATTTATACTATATAATTTTTTTTATGAAGCAGTATAAATTTTCGTTATTATTATTGCCAAACATAAAAATATGAATACTGCTTAAGTTCTATACCAATATATGAATATCAACAGTTGATGATATTGCATGTGACCTGAATCTGGGCCCAGCTCGTGAAAATTTGTATTTATTCATATTTTTGTGTTCTAATTAAGACTACCTAAGTTCTATATCAAATTTCTATTAATAAAATAAAGCCGATGCGGGAAAGTGGGAAATTATTTCCAAATTATCAAAGATGATATTTCCCTGAATTGTGTACAGTGAAATGTCACGTAAGCGACAGACTACATTCAACTAATGTAGAGGGAATAATGAAGCTTGCATATTTGTCAGATGTATCAACTTCAACCATTTGTTAACAAAAAATTAAAATCAATTATTTGCACTTTGTTCGAATATAAAAAGCGACAGCAAATTTTGTAGTTTGTTGGACCAACATCATATTCATAGGATTGAGAAGCTTTTCGGTGCTTCATAAGATATGGATATGAAAATGCTTAAACAAAAAAAGAATAATTATTTATTATAGCATGGGAATTTTTTTATTAAAAATAACCGGTGTAACGCGACACAAAGATAGAGAAACTAAGATCCAAACCAAAATTTCAAAAAAACCACCAAAAATGTAAAATTTGAAGAACTTAGCATCCAAATTTTGGAGCCTTGTAACCTAACTGGCCCATAAACCTGGACCCCAGAAGCGTCCAGAGCAAATGGGACTGGCTCATGAAGAAAAATTATGAGCTCACATGATGTAGAAAAAACAAAATTTATGTCGACAACACGATGTTTAAATGGCAAATGCTTACTAATTCCATAACGTCGAGGAATTAAAATTATTATTAATTCACTTTTACCATGATTTTCAATACACCTATAACATAATTTCTAATAAGAAAAATCTATTCATTGATTCCTTACTCTATTTAAATTCAAACTAAAGAATAAAATATTTTCACGAGCTTGGTGAAGTGGAAAATGGGCCAGTGTCTCTGTCTCATACTTGATAGGTTGCATATTTAAACCCCACACTCTTTTCTCTTAGGAATAAGAAAAGTATAAACTTTTTTTAATAAATACTTTGAGCCCTATAGTTTTCCTGCAAGTGAGGCATCATCCTCTCTGAAATTTTATCTAGCTAACAATGAAATTCTGCTAAGGAAAAAATAAACGTAAAGGCTACCCAACAGGACTCACATGTGATATTGATTTTCATGTGACTTCTTCCTAGCAGGTTGGATAGTTAACCAGAGTCATAAAGCACTAGAGAAAACTATTAATTATGTGGAGGCTAAAATCAGATGAAACGCAAATTTGTTGGCTTTTTCCCGTACCACCTGCACGTTATGTTGTAGAGAAGTTGCGAAATTTTAATGGAACGTGGTAGCAGGCAGAGAATCATATAAACTACTGAATGGTGAGTGAGGAGTGCCGAATATCATAAACTTTGCCTAGATAAACAACCAAGTTTCAAGGTAACCGAATCATAGAGAAATTTGTAAGTACTAGATTTCCCCATGTGCCAGAGACAGAAAAATTGGGGAACAAAAACGCAGCAAATTATGTCGCTATGAATATGATAGATTACCGTGTGACGTGCAATGACACGAGGAAATTTTTTAAGTATATTGGTTAGAGAGAAGATTTCTGCACCCAGAAGCTAAACAGCATAAGTGAAACAGAAAATTTCAGCTAACAGATTATGTTTGTTACCACAGTTAATAAGAGAAAATAGCGACGGTAGCAGCAGCCAGAAAGTGCATGCCACATTTCCAAAACAAGAAGACAAGCTAGCAGGACTCATTCGAAGCTGTAAATCTAAAAGGAAAAAACGACTTTTCAGCGGGAAGAAGAATTATGCTTTCATCTTCATAAGATCCATTTGCTGCTTTAGCACACAAGAATGAAAAATAGTATATGAAACTGTTCAAAATTGAAGCCTGTGCACATTCCCAATACAAAACAGCACACTACCGATCTAATTTATCAATTACTGCCTAAAGGGCTCCTGCAACCAGTGTCAGAAAATGCACCCTACTTCATAGACAAGGTGAAGAAATAGGAAGGAAGGAATTACTTGACAACATGTAAAGAGCCGGTAGTCATTTTGTGTGCTAAAGATTAAAGTCAGTAAAACTAAAAATACTCAGAACACAACAGAAAGTTTCGAAGTAAAACTTGAAGATTTTGATGGAAAATTGGAAATATCTGCCTTAACAGTCATGAGACAACTCACCTAACATGAACAGAAGAAGTCATAAGGACTAACATGCGGATAAACAATCACCGAAGCAAATAGTGAGTCAAGGACAAACAAACTGTTATACTGTGATTTCAATTAAGGAAATTGAAGTAATAAAACAGAATTTACTTTAGGAGCGAGCACATGTATTAAAATTGAAAACAAAATCTAACTAACCACAGAAAATTTCACCTGACATCCAATAATCAAGGAAGGCTCTTGTTTGATAATGTATACCCGAGAAATTCATGTGTAGAAACGCACCAATTGCCATACTATCCTAAGGGTGTTCATACATTTGACAAATGCACATTTATTATAAGAACTGGAGTAAATGTCAACTCCTGTCATAGACATTATGTGTGTGACTATACTAAAACAGAAACATTACCGCAGGAAGCAAATAATTTCCTCAAGAATGAATGAGGTACAACTATAGACTATGATGTGTGACGAAACAAAAACATATACAGGACTCTAGCTAATGCAATTGCAAATAAGAGCTATTAAGGACTGCGAAATTGGAACATAAATGAATTAAAAAGGTGAGTGAAACTGTGAAAGTAATAGTGAATAGTGAATAGTCCAGTCAATGTTTGCAGCCAAAGAAAGGTTTCTATTGTTAGTTTCTTTCAAAAGGTGTTGGCCAAAACACTGTAGTCCAGCGAATCTTTTTCCGGAGCTCTTGCATTTCACTTATTGTGTTCATAAACTACATTGCTCAAATCGGCGAAAATCCTAATCACAAACTACTCACAAAAACCAGGCCCCACTAGAGTCAAATCATGCGGCAACCGCTGCATCAGCAAAGAATAAAGGTTGGAAATGTGGCCAAACATTTCAACTCAACACACAATGCTCCCTGACATTCTTGGACCACATTAGATCAACTGTTTTTTTTTTTTTGTTTTTCCTCTTCCCGTACATCATCTCCCACAGAACATAAAAAAACTAAAAAACAGTGACATCTCATGGTTTCAAAGTTATTGGATTCAACATTGATTTTCTCCACCCCAAAGAAAGCATAAATGCAAGAAGACAAACATGACAAATTGACAACTCAAGAGCAGGGGAAAACAATTTAATCTATTAAAAAATGGAGGAAAAGCATAAGTACATGATGATTGGTAACGAGAAAGAGTAGAACCTTAAGGATGCATAGACATTAGAAAGAGAAAAGGCATGATCCTTGAAATCTCACAAAGAAAAAGCATAAAAATGAGAGAGAAAGGGGGCTGTCGCAGCAGCTTTTGATGAAAACCCAAAAACAGAAAGAAGGAAAAAAAAATGATATATTTGGAGGAAAATATAGAGATAGTGATAGTATTTATAAAAATGATATTTTGATATAATGTTGATGCCTGGCTCCATCCTGTCTGCCTTTTTGGACGCAATGGGAGAGACAGAGAGAGCTACATTGTACTGCTCACTCTCATTCTCATCTATCAAAGGAGAGGTGAACAGGTACCTGTTTCTGTTTGGGAGAAAGGGCATAAGGGTCATCGCATGATGTCCAACAAATGAGAAGATGAAGAAGAAGAAGATGATGATGATGAAAAACCTCCATTGCAGAATCAATCACAAAACCCTTCCTTGCAGCTTTGTCTCACTCTCTGAGGTTCCAAAATGGAAACTTTGATTGGTTGGTTATGCAGGCATTGAGGCTTTTGGTTTTGGCCGGTGAAAGGCCATTTTCAACTTTCTCTTTGTTTCTCTTTCTGGTAATACTCACCGTTTTGTCTCTCCTATGCTTTGCACCTCTCTCTTTTATTTATAATTATTTCCTCGTCTCCTCTTCACAGTTCACACTGCTTATGTTAATGTTATGCTGTCCTCTGACCTCTCCTTTTATTTTTAATTTAAATTACCCATTTTTATTATTATAAAATAAAATTAAAAAAAAAAAAAAAAAATAGGCCAATAGCGTGAGGTGAGGGGCATTTTGGGCTTCCACAGTACTGCGTCGTGCTTGTTTGGCCATTTTGACTGTGAAAGCGTGAAATGACGTGAGATCAGTGTCACACCAATTTTTGACTTGTTTCCCAAATTGTATCCATTGCTCCAACATTTTATTCTCTCACTCTTTTTCGTTTTACTACCTCTGTAAATTGTTGGAAATTAGGGTTCAATCTTCAATGTTTACATTAATTTTTTTTTTTTTTATCAATGAAAGAATCTTTAAATAAAAACACATGCGCGAAACTTGAAACAGGATTTGTACTATGGAATATGGATAATCAGCTTCGTCAAACTAAAACGCCTATTTATTTGTGAACCCAGCCAGCAATAGCATGATCCACATACATTTGTGATTTGTGGTCCACTCGTACAATGATTAAATGACAATGCTGTCTTTATTTTCAGACTAAGCAATTCATTATTTGAATGGTTATATTTGCTTAGCGCCCTATGAATCATTATTACAGTTAAATACCTGATTTGGAATATAACATAACATGCCTATAGATATGAAGAATTCAGAATCGGTTGGAAGAACATATCTTTCCTTTTCGGGAGAGAGGGAGGAAACTTTAAGCTCCAGTTAATTCCAACTATGTAAATAACACATTGAACCCTAAAATTCAAGTAACTCAAATAATAATATCTACCATTTTTATGTTTTGTGATAGCATCGTCTTAAGAGCACATATTTTATTTTACTCATATTATCATAAAAAACAGTTAGATGGACTAATATAGAAGAAAGGGTTTAACTCTTGCAAAATTTTAGATTACGACTCGAACCATCCTTATAAACAAATTCATACATAAATATTTGTTCCTACATTTTCATTTTCTTGAAAAAAATAAAAACAAATTCAATAATATTAAGTTTTATTTAACAATTCACATATAAAAAGTAACAAATAAAAATAAAAACAAATTCAATAATACTCAATTTTATTTATGTTTATTTAAATAAATTAATTTATTTGGTCTAAAATCCTTTTTCAAACAATTTAAAAATTTTGACATTTTTAAATAGAAAGAAATACACAACTTTTCAATAGGAATATAAAAATTGTCCAAATATACACAGTTTCATAAGAATGACTTTTTATTTATTTGTTCCTTATTTTCTCTATCTCTCTTGTATAATATACTTGAGGGACAAGATCAACAAATAAGTCATAAATCTGGATTATGACATTATATATGCTACTAAGCTAGAGTCTTTTTAATTAACTTCAGTTTCAGGTAACTTTTTATTACAATGATATATTATATATAAATAACGTATTTAAATTATAATTATCTGTTTTGTTGAAATTGTACACACAAAAGATCTAAAAATAATAAAATAATTTATATATTTAATTATGTAGCATCCATGTAAATAAAGTTTTATACTAGTATTTGATAACATTTTAACAAGTTAACATTCATCATCTTCATTCTAGTTAATGAGAAAAATGATATAATAACAAATAACATGTTTAAAAATATTATATTTTCTATTTTTAAATTTTATATATTAAACTTATTGATGATTGTTTTTAATCTTTATATTTTATTTTTTTCGCATATATGATGATTATTAGTTTTTATTCTTTTAAAAAATAAATTGTCCCACACATCTAAGGTTTTGGATCTGCCACTGATTAGACCCTGAATCTAAGTGTTTATGACTTGATTTCTCAAGCAATCTGCACAATGGAAAATCCTAAATTTGACACTCTCTATACTAAAAATATTTTCTTAAACAAATGGATTCATGCATGGATGACGATTTAAAATAAGTCTCATAAAAATCTTATGTTCCTTGAGGAGATTCTATCACATGAAAACATTTTTTAATGAAACTTTAGCTTTAACCGGGTCATGTTAAGAAACTATCAGTTTTAAATTTTAAAAAATAATTTTTTAATTCCCTCAACAAAATATTAAAACAATGACTATTTCATTAAATTAAAAGAAGTTATTGTTAACAGCAAAGTTCAACACACTTATAAATAGTTTTTTAAAAAGATACTAATAGAGGATGGGTTTTGAAACCATGCCTATGAAAGAAAGTTATTTGTTATAAGAGAAATACAAATAGAGATATATAACAGCTAAGAGACAGAGTCTGTTATGACTCTCTTACACTCGATATTTGTTGGTTATTCAAAATCTGTCAAATGACATTGTGTTGTTTTTTAAGAATTTCGTTTGATTTTGGGACAGCAAAGTAAAATGCTTTTCAGGAACTGAAAATTTGTTGGAGAAAATGGCGTGAAGAAATCACAATTCACACATGGTGGAGTATTTTTTTGTTCGTTACAACTATATTTTTAATTTCATCTTTCTTCTAGTTTCATTTACTACTACTATTTTTCTTCGACATCTAAACATGCAGATGAAAAAGATGCTCCATTTAAAGAAGCGTTAGAAGGTAGATGTGTGTAATTAATTAATAGTTAAATAACTGATAAATGTGTTGGTAACAATAAATGAAATAGCCGTCCCCTTATATTTATGTATGACAGACTTATAAAAGCTGTTTTGTTTTATGCTCTGTTGTGTGACTTGAACGCCATGATACACTCCCACCACTAAACGATAACAAACAATATAATAAAACATGGCAATAAAGCTATTTCGTTCAACTTATATTTTCCCAATTCTACATTTTTAAATCAATAAAATAAATAAATCCCTCATTTTAAGTTAAAAGTTTTAAATTACTGTCATATCCAGCTTTGATTAAAATAATCACTACACCAAATTGTTGAATATAATTGTCCAATTACTATATTGGCCAAAATTAATGAGGAAATTATCATTGGCTTCACAATCAAACTTAACTGTAGTTTATATGTAATATTATATTCTTTTACGATACTTTTTTTTTACCAATCATTTTAACAATTTATGAGAAAAAATAATTAAAAAAAAGTGTAATTATTATTTTTAAAATATTAAAATATTTTAACATTTTCTTCGCATAATAAGTGAAAACAACAATGAAAATAGTGTAAAAGGATTAAAAGTTATTCCTAATTTACACTCTCACATTTTTTTTTTTTAATTTTTTTTCTTATGTTTTGGTTTTACGGTTGTGAGTATTCAAATGTATATAGAGTTCATAGCAACATGACTTTAGCTAACAACAAATTTATCAAAGACAAAATTATTGTTAGTCAATTCATAGGTAAAATAATGCGAAGATCAAGTCAAAACACAATAATTGAAACTATTTTTTAAATTTGTGATAAATGTTTACCCAATTTACGGTTTTAAATTTGTGTTAAATTTTAGGTAAGTTTAGGCTTGAGCACATGGCTACCCCCAACTTAACTAATGAAAATCTTGGGACATTTTATATGTAAAATTTGCTTTTAAATTAATATTTTCTTAAAAAAATTGTTGATTATTTTTTTCAGCTTGAATATTGATTTTAAATTAAAATTTGTTTGGAAAAAAATTAAAATAATAAATCCGACTCTTTTAAGATAATTTCACATAAAAAATTAAGTGTAATAATAATTGTTGATTGAAAAATCAACTATAAATATTATAAGTAATTTTAAATTTTATTATTATACATGTATTTTCTTTTACCATAATTTTCAATTGTTGAATTTTTTAATTAACAGTTATTATTATATTTTATTTTTTAAAGCACATCCTTTTCTTTAAAGGAAGCAAATCCTGAAAGCATAACTTTATTTAAAATCAATTATTTTGTTCAATGAAAATATATATTTAAAAAAATTATATAAAAATAATTTAATCTATAGAATTTTATTTAAATAGTAATAAATAAAAATATCAAAAACATTTATATTTTAATTTTGAAAAAATTTAAAATGTCAAAATTTATTTTAGTTATAAAAAAAAATTAGTGGTGATTTAAAAATAATTTATAAAACAATAATAATCAAAGAAACTTAAATATTGCTTACAAATTATAAAATTTTAAAATTATTCTTATTGTTAAATAATAATTTAAAAAAATATTAAAAAAATAGTAAGTTATTTAGGTAGAATTTAATAATTCCAAAGTATATTAAAAGAATATGAGTGTTGTGTGCAGTATCAGTATCAGACCAATTAACAACGATATTAAAAAAAAAAATACATATCAAAATTTTATACTAACATCATATTTTGAGTTAAGTATTTTTTATTAATATAATAATTTTCTTTTTGGTATGAACAAACACGTGTTTCATTTTTAGCACAAATATATCCGTCAAAATAATATCTATGTCTATGGTCATTCTTAATTTTGGATAGAATATTGACAAAATTAATACCTAGAGGTATTACAAATTTCCCCCATCAAACATAAAGTATCTAATAAATTCTTAGCAAATTTACTATTTTATAACCGATTGATTTTCTAAATTTATTTTGAATATGATTCAATTGGTCTGACCCCTTAATTTTTTCTCGTCCTTTTGCCACTTTGTCTAGGTATTTTTCATTTACCTAATGTTATCATTATGATTGAATTCCTAATTTGATTCAATTTTTATGGTACACAGTTGAAGTAGTGGTTTTTTTAGTCACATGTTCAAGTTGTATACCTACAACAAGTGCTCATTCATACTTGATGTCACTATATCTCTAAATATGGATTATTGTTCATCACAAATTCCCATCCATGGTATTGAAATTTCTAATATTTTACAATTTTCGGCAATAGCATAAAAAATTAAACAAATTGAATTATGTGATGAATATGCTACGAAAAAACTAATACTCGCTCACTTTACCATTTCATCATGGAAAATCAACTTTAGTAGTACACTTTCCATTTTTCAATCTCACGTTTATTTTTTGACTCATTAGTTATTTTCATGTAATCTAATT